TTTTTTCGATTCTTTTGAGAATACCTAGCAATGGACTTGTTTTGATATGTTTACTTTTAAATATACAGTAGGCATCAAGACAATACTTTAGCGATAAGTGGCAAAGAATGTTTTGGCAGGGAATCCAGATGTTTAAGAGTGGAATCAAGGATTACCATTATTTTGAACACTTTGGCCAGATTTCTTAATTCTACTTGTGGCCAGGGGCCCTTCCCTGTGGGATTCTTACAATTTTGTTTGATATGAAGATGGTCTTTCTACTTCAGAAATGGCTGTTGGGCTTTGATAGGGGGTGTATTACATCGGTGGATAGTTTTGGGTTTCTTAACAATGTTAAATTTTTCTGTAAGTGGAGAGTCTTTCTATTTATTAGTGCTTTTACTTTACTTCAGCAGCAATTTATAGTTTTCAGTGCACAAGTTTTCTATCTTCTTGGTAGAATTTATTTCTAGGTATTTTCTTTTCGTAAGTGCTGTTTTTAATGAAACTGCTTCCTTTTAGAGTATTTGTTTTTGGTGTATAAAAACACAGCTGATTTTTCTTTGTTGGTCTTTTACCCTGCAACTTTGTTGAATTTATTTATTAGATTTAGTAGCTTTCAAAAAAAAAAAAAGATTTCGTAGCTTTCTTGTGGATTCCTTAGGATTTTTATATATAAGATCATGCCACCTGTGAATAGAGATAGTGTTATTTCTTTCCAATTTAAATGCTTTTTATTTCTTTTTCATGTCTAGTTTCTCTGGGTAGAATTTTCAATACAATGTCAAATAGCAGTGGTGAAGGTAAGTATCCATGTCATGCTCCTGATTTTAAGAAGGCTTTTAGTCTTTTAGCATTATGATGTTAGCTATGAGTTTTTTTTATAAGCTTAGCATGTTGAGGAAATTTCTTTCCATTCCTAGTTTTCTGAGTGGTTTTCTTTTTATTGTGAAAAGGCATTGGATGTTGTTACATGCATTTTCTGTATCAGTTGGGATGATCATGTGTTTTTCCTTCATTTTGGTAATGTGATTTATAGTATTGATTGATTTTGTTATGGTGAACCACCCTTATATTTTCAGGATAAATCTCATTTATTTACAGTATATAATGCTTTAAATTAAGTTATCTTTAAACAGAATACTTTTGGCCATTGTTTTGAGAATAGATTATTGGGAAAAGCAGGTAAAAGGAGATGGATACAACATAAGGGGGAAAAAGAGGCTTGTTTTGTGCTCATGTTGCTTTTACTGTCTTCCACTGCTTGTGAACTTTGCTCCAAGTCCAAGCTGCCTTAAAACCAGCTGATTATGGACTGAAACCTCTACAAACTGATAGCTAAATAAACCTTTCCCACTTTAACTTTGGGTGTTGGGTATTTTGTCTTGGCAATGAGAAAAGTAACTAAGACAAATAGTAATAGTATTTAAAAAAGGAATCATTAGCATTTCCTATATACAGAATTAGATATATGTTTTGTTCTCATTTGCTTCTTTATTTCTACACCAATTCCACACTATTTTAATTAGTTCAGTCCTATTTCATATTTAGTGGGGCATTTCTTCTTTTTTTTTTATTTTAAAGAATAAAAGAAGGATAACATAATAATAGGGGGG